GCAACCTTCCGATTACAAGACGAACACCCAACTCTTGAGCCACGATCGCTTGCACATTACTTGCACATTGACAAATTATTGGAGATACCCTTTAAATATAGGTGCACTGGTTCAAGTTCAAGTTCAGCCTGAGTCGTCTTGCTGCTCAAGTGTCAGTGAGCTGTGAAGAGAAGCACCCTGCAGGATAAAATTAGTCAGCAGACGTTAAAGGAGCTTACGGAGCTGGTAGAAATAGCAGACTGTCAAGTCAAACAGCCATGCTTTTAGAACATACACCTGCATCGAGGATTAAAAAAACGTGGTATTCAGTAATTGACCGGGAATGCCTTCAGTTTGCCAGATCAGGGAGTCTTATGGACTTGTGTCTTCTTTGGTTGCCAAACTGAGGAGCTCCTCCTTGTAATGACCTGCGAGCCTTCTTCATTGTAAAAACCTTTTACTGAAACAATAACTCGTTTAGTTCCCATAACACTGACAACTGTACAATAATCATGGCATTGTTTTGCTTAAAAATGAGATTAGAGACTATTTGGTGTTAGATAAGACGATACATCTTTTTATCACTTACATAAAGACTGGAGATGCTGCACATTTAAACAGTTTTTACTGGGATTGTACATGTAAGACTTTACTGCTCCTGTTAAGTAAATTATGAATTTCTCTCTTTCTCGTGCTTATACAGAGTACATCACAGCCAGGTTTGGAAACAAAGACCTCGAGAGCTATGCTGTGTTCTCATTGGATGATGACCCAGGTGATACTGTGATCATATCCATGTTCATCCGCACCAGACAGTCCAGTGGTCTGCTCCTTATCATGACTAACAGCACAAGCCAGTACCTCCGCCTGTGGCTGGAAGCGGGTATGATCAAAGTTCAGGTCAACAACTTTGAGACCCTGGTCGGTCGGGCTGTGATCAATGACGGCCATTTCCACCTGGTGACTCTGAAACTGGAAGGAGTGGTAGCCACCTTGTTCCAGTCAGCCCAAAGCCAGGGCTCTATGCCCATCAGGCTCATCCAGGTCCATCCTGGGGATATGGTTTATGTCGGGGGGCTACCAGACTCAAGGGCCTCGGCTTCTTTTGGCGGGTACTTCAAGGGATGCATCCAGGATCTGAGGATTAACAACAAAAGACTGCAGTTCTATCCAATATCAACTCTGGTAGAATCGTACAACCTGGAACAACTCATCAGCGTTGCAGAAGGATGCAGCAGCGACAACGCCTGTGCTGTGAGTTGTGGCAGTGCTGCCATATCGATAACGCTGTTGTGCATGAGCTGCTACCCCTTGCGACCCTGGTGTCTGCACTGACACTGAAAGAGTGCTTTTTAATTAATTGATACTGTCTTCTCTGCATTAGGTGAACCCCTGTCTTAACGGGGGAGTGTGTTACTCCATGTGGGATGATTTCATTTGCAACTGCCCCCCCAACACTGCAGGGCGGCGCTGTGAGGAGGTGAAATGGTGCGAGCTGTCTCCCTGCCCAGCTGCTGCAATGTGTCAGCCCCTCTCTCAGGGTTTTGAATGTAAGTAACCTGATAACAGGTTCCAGTCATGCATAATGCCTGTCCTGAAAGTACATCATCAGGGAGGAATAAAGACTCTTTAAGAATTCATTTCCCATTCATGGCACATGCAAGCATTTGGAAGAATTTACAAGTAATGTGCGAGCCCCTCAGATAGCATATAACTGACATCCACTGAAGACATCATCAGCACTGCACGTCCCTTTAGGGGACTCAATGGTGCACACACAGTTTTAATTACAGCACTGTTGATTACAGCAGGGAACACAGTAGAGGCAGGGATCCTGCATGGGATTCCTCTAAGGCGTGGTAATCCCTGGTCAGATTAACTCTGCTGCCACATGGCTGTGGTAGTTTAAGATGACATGTCTTCCTGGAGCAGTCACATGTTCACAGAGGGGAGGGAAAAACAGCTTTTTAAACAGTTTTTGGGCTAATTTGCTGTTTAAATAAAAACAAACGGTAAGGACAGTGGGGTTATTTCACACTGGATGTTTTTGGAATTATGTTTTCGTTGGAAGTTATTAGGGATCAGTCAGAATAAAGTGGAATCATCTCCTTCTGTACGCCAGTACAAATCAGTTTCCGCTGAGGCAGAGTTGGTATGTTTGTATTTGCTATGCTGCCAGGCTACTGTCAAGTGTGGTTGAACTTACAGAGTCCTGAAAAAAGAGATTAGCTTAATTAAACTCTAACCTTGTGACTACACTAGAAACTTCCCGCTCACGGTGTGCACTTTGTAAAAGCAGACCAGACTGTTTTTTTTATTAAACATGAGCAGTATGCAATTGTTGAAGAAACTGGTTTAACGCTTTATAATACAGCATGCAACTTAGCATGTAATTCCCCTGTAATTTAATGGAATGTCAGTGTTTTTTTTATTTGATATTACAATGTAATTATAATAAGCTACACATTCATAAAGGTAGGAATACTAGAATAATGCTTTTAGAGGACGCAAAGAAATAATTATTGTAAATAAATTAAATAAGTCTGTAAGTAATTTTTAATAATTAGTAAGTAACTTTACATAGTACAACAATTCTGGGTATTTTACAGGAAAGGAGATAAGTCATACTCTAAGTAATTGCTGCTCTAAGTGCTGCATAATTTCTTGGTAATTTGACAGTAAAACCAAATAACATGTCCCAATCTTACATTGTAAGTAGACTGTAGTTTTAAGGGTATTTTATGGAGTGGATTAGCCTTGACTAACCTCAAGGTACTTTACAGGGTATGAGACACTCCTTTTGAGAGATGTGAACAGTGATTTTGAAAGAAAGAAAGTTAAATTAGACTTTATTCCATCATGAAAAGCTCACATAGGCCTGCAAATTTAGATGGCATTTATTATTTTTTAGCATTTGTAAGGGAGAAAAGTTCTTCTCACATTTATATTGGATAACTGAAAAGGAAAAAGGACAATCGAGTAATACAACACTTATCGTGTACATATGTTTAAAAAAAAGGACACAATTAGGAAAGATTAATTTGCTCTATAATATGGCCCACGCCCCAAAAAGTAGAGCATATTTACAATGGGTTGTGTCAAACTTTCAGCCACAGGGAGGGCTAAGAGCAATGTGGTGTTAGGTTACTCTTCAAGACCTGAAAACACGAGTCTTTAATGTTCAGGAGGGACTGTAGTCTGTATGGGTGTGATGCTTTGAGACTGCAACAAGATCCCTGAGTAGTAAGCTGCTCCTCCATGTCTCTGCTACAGGCTTGTCTAATGTGACATTTCGGCTTGGAAGCAGCATTCCACAGTACCGGAGCAATGGAAAGATTAAGCGCAGCCTGACCAGTGTCTCCCTCAGCTTCCGCTCAAGACGGCTTGCTGCCACATTACTGCATGCACACAAGGACTCAAACTACCTGACGGTCTCTCTCCTGAACTCTCATGTGGTCATGGATCTCCAGGTTGGGGGTGACAAGGACAATGTGTCTATTCAAAGCCAGACTCAGTTCAGTGACGGAAAGTGGCACACTGTGAAGCTCAGCTTGGAAACCCAGGCATCGACCTCCAGTTGGATCATGGTCGTGGATGGAGGAAAGGAGGCCATTAGCATGTCCAAAACAGCTGTGGGTGACCTGGAGTTTCTCAGCAAGGAAGCGGACATCTTCCTGGGTGGTCTAAGCCAGAATGCTGGAGTGGATCTGTCTGGCTGTCTGGGCCCTGTCGAGATTGGGGGGCTTCTTCTCCCTTTCCACCCCGATACAGAGCTGAACCTGCCCAGACCTCAGGAGGAGCAGTTTTTGAGGATAAACAGCAATGCGCCTCTGCTGTACGGCTGCTGGGGAGCCAGTGTTTGCACACCTAACCCTTGCAGGAACGAGGGTGTCTGCGAGGACCTGTTTGACCTGCATCAGTGCACGTGTTCCTCCGAGTGGACGGGCCACCTGTGTCAAGACTCGACAGACCCCTGCATCTCCGGGCCCTGTCTCTACGGCAACTGTGTCAGCCTACCTGGAGGGTATAAGTGTGCGTGTGAGCAGGGGTACAGCGGCGAGCAATGTGAGGTAGAAGTCGATATGTGTGAAAAAAGCAATTGCAGCCACGGCGCCACGTGCCTCAAAGGCTTCCAGACGTACTCCTGTCTATGCCCTCAAAATATGACTGGCCAGTACTGCGAGTGAGTTCCTCAAGAGTTGATTTCAATGTCACCAGAGATAGCAATGTCACCAGTTGTGCTGATTTGCAAACTTCTCTATTACAGCGAGAAACTCCCTGAAATCCCATGGTACATCGAGACCAATCCGTAAGTGCTTTTACATCAAATTCAACACACTTCACTTAACCAAGTAAACAACATATCAACCATTTCTGAATTAAACAGTGTTGACTTTCTCTCTTCTGATGTTTGCCCAGACTTCCTCAGTTGCCTTTGTCTACATGCACGGGTACACGCTGGAACTACAGCTGCTTTAATGGAGGACACTGCTCCGAGGCTGATGATGCTTGTTACTGCCTGCCTGGCTTCGCGGGACAATGGTATGACATGCATAATGATAGTTAATTTGCACACAACTTGCCAACCACCCCGTGTGATTTTAAAAGTCCATGTCAGTGCCGCTACTGCCCCCAAGTGGCCAAAAACAGAACTTTTTTTTAAATTTTCCTTTCAGGTGTGAGAAGGACTTGGATGAATGTGCCTCTGACCCGTGTATGAACGGAGGTTTCTGTGTCAACTACGTGAACAGTTTTGAGTGCGTGTGCGACATGAATTACTCGGGGATTCACTGCCAAATAGACGTCAGCGACTTCTACTTGTACCTCTTCCTGGGCCTGTGGCAGAACCTCTTCCAGCTCGTGTCCTACCTCGTGATTCGTCTCGACGACGAGCCAGAAATTGAGTGGGGGTTCCAGATCAACGATTAGGCCCTCTTTATGATGAATAAAATCAGACCTAGCTCGATGTGAAGGGTTAATCAGTAACAACAGCACATCTACTGGAGGAGATCTGCAACATCTTTGGGCTGTATGAATCAGTTTTATCTCTTCCTGTGGGAACATACACGTCCACAGACTTTTTGAGCAAATATATCTACCTACATAGTCTCCGTGGTAAGGGGAAACTGTTCTCCTTTGTGGCCTCTTGTGATTTAGGTTGATAAACCAGGTGTATCTGCATTAATCTACATAATACCTGCAGTATTTAAGTGGTCCATGTTGCAGATACACAGCTCTTGGTTTCAGTGTGCACTCGTAAACATGAGACTTTTATGAATGTTTGAATTTTTTATGAAGACAATTTTTTTTAAATCTCAGCTTCACAACGAGCTGCTAACGAGGAACAGTGACTGTTAATATACGTTATGTATTCGTGTAATGTACTGACAGGGGCAGCAATAGAGATGTGTCTGTTGTGAACAGATTTATTTGGTTATGTGATATTGAACAATACATACTCCATCGTGTTTTTGACAGTGTGTGAATCCGGTTCTAATACTGAAAACTACACTTTAGAGAGCTCTTTGTGTGCCTTAAATATCCACTTTTTGATCTGTGCGACAGCTTTTCTCTCACTGGGGTTTTGTAACTGTTCCTCGCATAGTTATAATCAAGTGGATGAAACTGAAATTACAATATATGTATCTAAGACGTATTTACAAATATTTATGTAACGTAATATAAAATAAGTTGTCCTGCATACAGTATCTGATCTTGAAAGGGAACCCATTATGCTTTTCCTTCATTTCTCAAACATAGCATCTACAGTTGTGGATGTTCATATTAAACATGGATAGAGACTGAACTGGTGAGGTCAGCAAATGCAAACATGTGAGTTAAACACTCACTCTTATGCATTTTTTTCTACTTTTGGCGCTGTGTGATGTGATATGCCTAATATGGCCATCAGGCACACCTCAGGGGCTGCAAAAAGTCCAATATGTGATTAAAAAAAGGATCATACTGAAATATGAATCATGCAAACCTACTCTGAGAGTCCAAGGAAAAAAAACATGTAGATGGAAATGAGCATTAAAGGTCTCTTTTAGGAGAAACAAATATAAATAAATGTGAAATGTTTGGAAAATGACAGTTTTTATTTAAATCCTTTGTATACATATTGCTCATCTGAAACAGGCACATTCAAGAAAACACTACTTCAATTCAGTCATCTGGTGATAACAGGTCAAATCTGATGCTAACAATGGTGCCAATAAGATTCACAGAAACATAGTAGCTGCCAAACGGACACTGGACAGGACAGACTCCGTATGGCTCCAGGTAAGTCCACTCTTCTTCTCCTCTCAAAGACATGCTTGATTAAATACTGATCATATGCAGTAGTTACCAAAATGGATGAAATTGTAACCTGACGAGTGAATTATATTTCGCAGCAGGGATCGTATTTTCACATTATATACATAATATAAGGCCGCTGTGGAGCTGCTACCACAATCACACCCTACACGATGTTGTCTGTGAAGGTTCTCAGTCGTCCTTGGACCAGGTCATCGTAGTCCAAGGAGCTTGGAAAGAAAAGCATCTGGACTCCTTTAAGTTGCTTATTATGTTATTTTTATACCAAAACACATCCATCCAACAAGTTAATGACTCATCAGTCCTGTTCATGGAGCTTACAGTCGCAGAGCTCTTTGTAGATCCTCTTTCGTATCTTTGGTATGTCTTTTTGTGAGAAGTGGAGGGGTCTTGTCAGAGCAAGGCATCTAGAATACTGTAAAAGAGCAATATCATGTAGTGAGCAAGCAACAGAAACAAATCTGAAACGATCATGCACGTGAACAGTCGCACGTACCTCCAGAACAAAAACTCCGCAGTCGTTCTCGTTGGTCTGCTGCGGGACTTCCTGCGAGGAGCAGCAGGGGGAGACAGCACATCGTGTCAGTGAGAGCGAGCGTTCAAACAGGTAACAGTTTAAACCAGGACGACGTACCTCATCGAACGCCACCGTCCAACCACTTTCAAAAGCAGTTTGCTTCTTTTCTTTTGCTTCGGTCATCAAGTATTTCAGGATGTTCTGTTGAGAGGAAAACGTTTAGAAAGAAAAAGTATTTTGTCAAAGTAACTGCGTG